CCCCCGAACTCTCGCGCCCCCTCTGGGGCCGCTCTGACCAGCTGCGCGCGATATTGCAGCGCCGCGACGCCATTAGAATGAAAGAAGCGGGTCGTCGCTGGGAGACCGCCCAAGCGGTAGACTGCGCAGAAAAAGCACGCCCTGCAAGAACTTGACCACCCCCCCCTAATGCAATCACGTTTGCAGCGAGGGCCATCCAGAACCCGTGTCGCAATACACGCGCCCCGCGCGTGAACTCCTGGCACCCACTTCCTTCGGCCGCGCTCGGCCAGCTCATGCCTCGAGCGCGCCCCGCATTCCAGGGCGCGGCGTGGGCCTCCGCGAAGGGAGAGACCGATGGCAACAGCGAGCCCAACGGAAGCACAGTTGGCGTGAGGCCAACAACGACGCCATGGACGTCATCGGCACATGTAGCTAAGCTCAGGGTCCAGCCGCGGAGCGTTCCGGGCACGCGATCCCGCCGCGTTGCCAGGCGCCGCGCAGAGTCCAAGAATGCAATCGAAGCAGGCTTGCCCTGCCCAGCTCCACGTCTCCCTCGCCAAGAGGACCTGGCCCCCCTGGCGCCTGCAGAACAGCCGGCCGCGGCCGCGCTGCCCCGGCGCGGCGACGCAGAGAGACCAGCGACGGCCCGCGGGGCGCAGAACTCCCACGATCCATTCCAAACGAGCCGGATGGGGGGCCGCGCGGGAGCCGGCAAGCGGGGTGCCTGCTGCCCCGCGCACCCGCGCGCAGCAGGGCCCAAATGATCGGCCCAGCCGCGCTGTCTCGCGCATCCCCGCCCTCGGCCCCCGCCCTCGGCACCCCGATGACTGCGCGCGCGGCGGCCGCGTTCAGACCGACGAGAAGGAGCCCGATCGGCGTCGGCAGCGGAGAACGGGCAGGGTTGGTTGGGGGCCTCAGGGCAAGACTCCTCCAGCCAGCGGGACTTGTACCCTTCGGTGGAAAAGCCGCGCGGCTGATCTGGCTGTCAAAGAGGAGGCGCACTCCTTCGCTGTCGCACGTTTCCTCGCGCCGACAAAGTGCCTCGGGGGCCGCCTGGCAAGCGCGCGGGGCGCCGTCGGGCCCAGGGGCCGAGCCCCTCATGACGACCCCCCCCCCGCGAGCTCTTCCCGGCGCCGCGGCTGAATAATCTGCGACTGATCGAGCGACTGCGCGCACAACCGGAAAAGCGCCTAGAGCCGATCGCCGCAATGCGATGGGTCGCGCGCCACCTCCCAGTGCGCCACGAGCGCTGGCGCGCAAAATCTGGGCTGGCGCGCGCCAGCCCATCTACTCCCATGGCCCCCGACGCCCAATGCGCTGCTTCCGCGCGGTCTCGACCCCCCGCCGCCCGCCACCCCCCGCTCGCCGCCGCCGCCGCCGCCGCCACCGCGCGCGCGCGCTCGCGCGCGGTGGCGGCAGCGGGATTTCCAAGGACTCAACGAGGGCACGGAGCCCGCTGGGGCCGGCATGGCGACCGCGCTCGACATCGGGGCGCGCGCAGCCAGCAGGACAGGAGCGGAGAGCGTGAACGCAGACGCCGTCGACGCTCTCTCTCTCTCTCTTTTTTTTTTCTCTCTCTCTCTCTCTCTTTCTCTATCTCTTTCCCCAACTCTCTCTCTCTCTCTACTTAACTTGTTTGTTTCTCTCTCTCTCTATATATGTGTATCTATATATATATATATATATTGTTAGTTATTTCTCTTTTGTTTTTCTCTCTCTCTCTCTCTATCTCTCTTTCTCTTTCTCTTTCTCTTCCTCTTTCTCTTTCTCTTTCTCCCCTCTGTCTTCCCCCCGCTCACGGCGCGCCGTTGGCGCGAGATGGAAGCTCTCAGCAGCGTCCGAGGCCTGCCCATGTCGCAGCGACGCCCTGAAGTTCAATGCCGCATCCCCCACGGCGCCCCCGCCCTCCGCGGCGTTCCCGAAGGGCCCACAGGGAGAACCATGTCGAGCATCTGCTCAGCGACCGCCGCCCGAAGGAAGGGCATTCGCCGACTCTCTCTGGGATCGAGAACGGACCGCCGGGGCTTGGGGGAGCGATGAGAACCGCCGCAGGGACGTGCTCCGGCGGCGGCGCGGGTCGCTTGGGATGCCGGCGGCGCGGGTCGCGCATGAACAGCCAAGTCTAGAGCAGCCTCTGACGGCTCCGCCAGCGGCGCCCTCCCACGTCGGAGCAGGCCAGCGCGGCCCGCGCCATGACCGCTAATCCCCCGGACCGCGACCTGCCCCCCGGCTCGGGCCCAATCCCCCCATCCGCAATGGGCGCCCGCCCTCGACGCGAACGAAAGCCCCGTCTCCCACAACGAGCAGCAGGAGGGAGAGCAGCAACAACCTGCGCAAGATAGCGCTTATACATTCCAGCCGGGTCACGCGCGTTGGGCGAATGTGCATTCGCGGCTACCAGATCCGCAGCGGGACCAGGAGTACCTCAACATCAAAATCCTGCCCTCCCCCGCCTGACGTGGCGACTTCGCTGAATTGCCCGCGGATCTGAGCTGGGATGAACGCGGCAACTCTTCCC